GGGAGGAGGGGCCGGGGGGCTGGGCTCCTGGGTCTGGGGGAGGAGGGGCCAGGGGCCTGGACCCCTGGGTCTGGGGGAAGAGGGACGGGGGCCTGGACCCCTGGGTCTGAGGGAGGAGGGGCCGGGGTCCTGGGCTCCTGGGTCTGGGGGAGGAGGGGCCGGGGGCTGCGCTCCTGGGTCTGAGGGAGGAGGTAACCCAGAGCCAGAACTCTAGTTTTCCAAAGAAGGGCTCCTAGGATATCTGAGCCCTCAGTGGGAAATGAGGGGTCTACCAGAGTTCCTTAGTGTCATGTTTGGTTTCTCCCTTTCAGATGTCGCTGTTCCAGCTAACATGCGCTGTGGGGTCCAAACCCTGCCCTTCTGACCTGGGCTCTGTCAGGCACTCATATCCGTTGAAATGCACTAGGTGGGGTGCAGGGAGAGGTGCCATCTGAAGAGCCTCTCCTCTTCCCTTCCCTGTCCAGCCCCAGGTGTTTCATAAATAAAATTCTTTTTTTTTTTTGCACTGAATATGACTTTAACGAGTTGGGTTTCTGAACTGAGGTGCCTAGAGTTAGTTCTGGTCCCTGGAGAGACCAGGGAGTGGGCCAAGGAGCCGGAAATGAAGAGATTTTCTAACTCACAGCATTAGAAGCAAACATCTGGGGTTGGATTTCTCAGCTCCTTGGATTAGAAAACTGTCTTGAGGTGGAGCCAGTTCCTCCTGTGAAACTCAGGATAGGGTGGTTTACTTATCCAGGCATCAGCTTCCTCACCTGTAAGTTAATATTAATAACAATAGAATGTTGTGATGGTCCAATGCGTCCATATGTATGAGGTGGTTGGCGCACTGCCTGCACGGCTGACTTCCTATCAGAGTTAAGTATTATTGTTACTATCACGCCAAACGATCTTCCCGTCTTCCAGGCACTTGCTCGTTGCACCAGCGGGACAGTATCTCTAATGGTTAAGAACATGGATGTGCCAGAGAACAAATCCAGTGTTAAGATTCACAACACATGTAGAATTGGGACCCTCAGCCTCAGTTTCCCCAACTATAAAATGGAGATAGTAACGCTTTTGTCACTAGGCTGCTGTGAAGATGAGATTAAGTTAATGTGTATAAATGTTTCGCTCTGCTCCTGACATCCAACAATCCGTTCTCACGTGCCAGTTATTTTCCTGTTACTGCCCAGAGAGGAAAGGGTCTGGCTGAGACCTTTAACCTCTGCCCTCCACCCCATAACAACGTAGGGGGGGTACACTTCCCCCTGTCTCTGGGCGGGTCTTTGACTCAGCTTAGGGCACCCCTTCCTCTTGCCCAGCTCCCCAAACCGGTCGGGGCCCTTCCAGAAGATTCATTAGAGGGGAGAGATCCATAGCTCCATTCCCCTCTTCCTTCAAGGATTCCCAGGGTCTGGGCATTAGGGAGGCGCTTGTATTTTAGGTGACCAAGACGCCTGGTCCTCCACGGAGGAGGAACGTTGGAGCGGGGGGTAGAGTGGGGGGTCCCGACGCTGACTTTTCCGAGGGTGGGGCCGGGAAGGCCGGATGCCACGGCCGCGGGCGGGGCATTTGGTCGCTCCCTCCTCCCTCAGGAGCTGTTGGACCTGTTGTCCCCCCCTCCACTTCCGGGCTGCTGGGGAGGGGGACAGGACAGTCTCTCTCTCCTCCCTGTTTCCGCAGCCACCTGTTTTGTAGGCAGAAACGGCAGCGCCGGGAGCGCAGAGCAGAGCGCGCGGAAACCTGAGCAGCTGAGGAGGCCGGCGCTGCGGGGGCTGGAGCCTCGGCATCCAGGGTCGGCGGGGGAGGAGGAGCAGGCTGGAGATCGGGAATCTCGCTCCCGGCAGGAGCAGAGGACGCAGACTCCAGGTTTGTCCAGAGAAAGGGAGACTGGGAGCCCCGACTCATGGATCCGTGGGTGAGGCGCACGGGCGCTGCTCCCCTGCATGGGGTCGGAGCCAAACCTACCGGGCTCGGGAGAGAGGGGGCGGGAGCCCGCACTCCTGAGTCTCCGAGAGAAGAGGAGATGGGGTCACTGCAGGGTGGTCCAAGGAATTGGGTGGGGGCTGCTGGGAAGGTACAAAGCTAGACACCTGGATAGGAGGGAGAGGACAGTAGGGGGCGCCCTAGGACCCCCGGACTCAGATTCCGGTCCCGCCTCCGGAGAAGCCTACCCCCAGAAACTTGAGGCCGCGCCACGGGAACGCTCAGTTCCAGCCTTGGAACTCCTAGGCCCCGCCTCCTGGAGCACTCTCCGCGCGCCCGGGCAGTCGGAGCGGAGCGCGGGCCTCCTGGGCCACGCCCCCACGCGGCCAGGCCACGCCCCCGGAACACCGGGCCACGCCCACCCCGCAGGACCCAGGAGCGGCCATGGGGACGCCGAGCAGCCCCGAAGAGGGCACCCAGCGGCCGCCGGTCTCGGAGTGCGACGCGGAGGTCCTGCCCCAGGGGGCTGCCCAACCCCAGGAGCGCTCCGAGGAGCCCCGCGAGCAGCAGGCGCCTGAGGCCCCGGCGGAGCTTCCGAGCGGCCAAGGGGCTGAGCAGCTGGCGGAGGAAGAGGAGGAAGTGGGGGAAGGCAGCAGCACTGAGAGCAGCCGCGACGCGGTGAGGGACTTGGAGGGCGAGAGCCCCGGGGACACCCGGACAGACCCAAGCGGTGACAGACACGGACAGACAGGTGTAGAGAGACCAGAAGGACAGAGACCCGGAGACAGGGAGACTGAGGGACAAAGACCCAAAAGAGCCAGAGACGCAGAAAGACCGGAGAGATCCAGAGACAGAGACTCAGAGATGGGCGCAGAGGCACAGAAACCCGGAGACAAAGGGCGCAGATGTTCAGAGAAACAGAAATAGACGCAGAAACTTCCAGAGAGGACCTCCTCCGAGGGGAAAGAGACCTAGCGATTCGGACAGAGATAGATACTGAGTCGGAGAGGTGAAGCCCAGAGAAACGGGGTGGGGGGAAGACTCAGACCCCGGGAAAAGGCGCGAGAGGTCCAGGGCCTGCGAGGGCGTGACCCCAGGAAATTGGGACCTGGTAGGGAAAAAAACATTTCCCTTGAGTTGGCTTCGTACCCTCTCCCCGGACTGCGACCCCCTGGCCTCTTGCGGCCAGGGGTCCCCGGACCGCACCCTCCCCCACTTGAATAAAAGGGCGACCGGGTGAGGCGGACTCAGACCCCCCGAGTGACCGCGGAGGGCTGGCCTCTGACCACGCCCTCTCACTTAAGGCGGAGGCCCCGCCTCCAGCATTGACCTCGGCCGTTACCCCGGCGTCCGCGCGGACCGGGGAAGGGGCACGAGGGGCCGCGCGGCGGCTTCGAGCGCAGCAGCTGGAGGCACTGACGCGCGTGGCCCTGATGGAGCAGCGAGTGAAGGAGCTGCAGCGCCAAAAGAAGGAGCTGAGAATCGAGGTGAGCCTGCGGACTTCTTGGGATGTCTGGCCCCAATTTGGGGAGTCTGCATGGCCAGGCCCCCGGTCCTTTCCTCCTTCGAGATCGGACTCTAGGCCTCCAGCCCCATCCTCTATCGGACCCAGGTGTCCGAGCCCCCAGCCCCCTCCTTCCTCAGACTCAGCCCTCTGCACCCCCGCCCTTGCATTTTCTCCGCAGATGGAGGTGGAAGTGGCCCTTCTGCGGGGTGAGCTGGCCGGGGAGCGAGTGGCCGCTCGTCGGGAGGAGGAGCAGCTCCGCGCGCTGCTGGGGCAGCAGGTGGACGCTGAGCAGGGCTCCCGGGAGCAGCAGGAACAGGTCTGTTTGTCCTGCTGGGTTTTATCATCGGTTTCCTCCTTGTTGGACTCATTTTATATGGTGGTGCTCCTGGTCCTGGACCCCAGGGTCACCCCCACTCCCCAAATGGGGATACTTGGGCTGGGGGGTGGCAAATGGGCAGATGCGTCTCTTTTCCTTCCAACCCTCTGGACCATGATTTTGGAGCCTGACTCACTGGGGCCTCTTCCTTTGCTCCTTAAATGTCACATGGTGGGAAATGTCAAACCAGCAAACAGAATGGGCAGAGGGCTGCCATGTGGTGGTCTCACTGGCTTCAGCAGTGATTAGCCTCCCATTCTTGTTTCATATCCCCCAGTTTGCGTCCCCTTCTCTAGTTTTAGAGGCCAATCCCAAACACCATATTGCCTGTAACTACTTTAAGAACTTACTAACTCTTAAGGGGAGATTATGATACAGTAACATTTTTAAAAACAGGCACCTTGCTCACACAACTCCCTGTCATGCCCCAGCCCATCAGGTGACACTGCTCCGCTCTTTCTGCTCCCTTAACCTCTCTGATCCACCTCTCTTACATCCTCACTGCCCAGGCCCCCATTTAGGTCTTATCCTCATTTCTTGGAAGACTGATGAAGGAGACATCTCAGCACTTTGAATCCATCTCCCAGAGGATTCTCCTAAACCTACAATGACTCCATCCTTTCAGTCCTTCCACAACTCCCCATTGCCCTGGGAGAAGAGCTCCTCAGCATGGTTGACCAAACCAGACAGGAGCTGGGTCGTGCCTGCCTTTCCACTGGCATCTCACACTGTGCTCTTCCCCCCTTCCCTCCATCGCCTCTCCTTTCTCCCTTGCCTGCGGTTACCCCCACCCTTCCTGTACTTTTCAACTTCTGTGCACTTCTGCCATGCTTTTCCCTCTGCCCAAAATGCCCTTCCAGGTCCCTGTATCTCCCCAGATCTAAATGCTCCCTGATTTTTGAGGTTTATCTTGAAATCCTCACATCCAGAAAACCTAGGATTACCCCAGTAGAAATTGCTTCCCCCTCTGGGTGCCCACAGTCTCTGTCACTCCCCTGCTTGTCCCAAGCTGTAATTGGCTGTGTCCCCACATGGACCCTCTCTGGATCTCTGGTATCAATAACCTAGTGACTATATTTTACATTCATTCCTTCACTTGTTTCTTAAATAACTGTTTACCCTTCACCTACCCTGGGCAGTCCTGTACAAGAGTGAAGCAGACAGACAGGGTCTTTGCCCTCGTGAGGCTGACGCTCCGGGCAGAGAGGAGTCTGAGATCCGGCTGGCTGGCCTTTGCTGGCCTCTGTTTCCCTTTCTGTGCTCAGGCTTAGGCTAAGAGCCTGGTTTTCTTTTAGGAACAGAGGCGGCTGAGCCAGGAGCGGGATCGCATGGAGGGTCTTCGCCAGAGACTCCAGGAGGCCCAGGGACAGCTTGACTTGCTGCCAGAAGACCAGCGTGAGCGGTTTCTGCAGGGGGTGCAGGAGGTGAGGGTCCTCCAGACCTTCTCAGGGACCCAGGGTCCAGGAAGCTTCTCCCTCAGGCCCCAAACATCCATTCCCTCAGGCCCTTCCTCCCCCACCTAGGGGTCCAGGCCTCTAGCCCTTTTGCATTCCTATCCACAGATGAGGGAACAGCTGGATATGGCCCAGCGTGCCTATGAGGACCTGGAGTTCCAGCAGCTGGAGCAGGAGAGCCGACGGGAGGATGAGGATCGGGACAGCCCTGGGGCCGGGGCACTGGGGCCCAAGGCCCAGGAGCTCCGGGCCAGTGTGGCACAGCACAGGGTGAGTCAGGCTGGGCTGGCCCTGCGTCCCTTGCTGTTGCCTTCAGCCTCCTCCACTGTGTGTCTGGCCCTTTCTCTGCCCTCATTCCCTTCCTGTAACATGTTCTTCAGAACAGTAACAATAATCGCTGATTTTTATTGAGCATTTACTATGTCAGGTACGATCCTAAACATTTCATGAGTATTTACACAGTGAATCCTTACAGCAACCCTAGGAGGCAAGTCTTACTATTTTTTTTCTATTTTATAAACAAAGAAACAAAGTTTCTTAGCTCACGTAATCTTTCCCAAGGTCACTGAATTTGTAAAGGATAGAGGTGGGACCTGAACTTATGCGGTCCTCACTGTTTCACTCGATGCCTCCCAAACCCTAGTCCTGAAAGGTGCTCCCACCAGTCTTTTGTGGAAGCTTCGAATTCCAGGGTCTGACAATCCTGCAGGAAGAAGTGACATGTTTGGCTATATTAAACTAGTCACCCAAAGGTTTGGATTAGAAAGGCCTGATGTGGGTCGTCTTTGCCTGCCTCTATTTCTGAATCTTTTTCCTGTCACTGTCTCTCCCTTCCTCTGTCTCACTTAGCTTCTGTCCGTCTTTGTTCTGTTTCTGTTTTGTCTCTTTTCTCTTTCTTTCTATCTCTGGGGATCTGTCTTGGTCCTTTTCTATAGCTTTTCTGGTCTGTCTGTCCCTTTTTCTCTCTGTTCTTGGTGACATTCTCTGGGCCTGTGTCTGTATGTTGGACCTTCCATCCCCTGCAAACCCCCAGGCCTCTCTGGGCCCCCAAAAGGGAAGAGGGCATCTAGGAGCTTAACTGGCTCCCCTCTCACCCTCTCCCAGGCACCCAGGTCTCAGGGTCTCTGTTATAGGGTGGAGGACGCCCTAGGTTCTCAAGGAGGACCTGGTTCTGTGGGAGCCAGCTGGGAAACCTGGGGGAGCTGAATAAGCAGGGCACTTGGGGGTGCCCTGCAGCGCCGGATCCAGGTCTTGGAGGAGCAGCTCAAGTCGCTGGGGGAGCAGATGGCAGCTGAGAGCCGGGGGCTGAGCCGGAAAAAGGAGGAGGCCCTTCAGGCCCTGACACAAGTAAGTGCTCCCAGAGAGGCCTGTCCTCATTTCCTCACGTCCACCTGGGGCATCCCATTGCCTCCCTGCAGCCCGGGTGTTTCCTGGCCGCAGGGAAGGCTGCTGGGACGGCCAGTTGTGACTCTGAGATACGGCACTCAGTGATGTCCTGCCCTCCCCTAGGAGCGGAGCCGGCTACTTGAGCTTAATCACCTGCAGGGAACCCCTGGTGGGGACTTCTCTGAGCCCAACCAGGCCCTCACTAAGGTATGGGGGTTTTATGCCCCTGTCATCCCCTCCTCCTTCAGACCCAGGAGGAGTCCAGACTCCCAGGCCCCTTCTCCCTTGGGAACCAGAATCCTCAGCTCCTAATCCCTTTTACCCTTCAGATCCGGGAGTTTGGGCCACCAGCACCTCCTTCCCAGGGAACCAGCAGTCCCCGCACACAGCCCTTACTCGCTCAGACCATGTTCAACTCTCTTGTGACCTTGAGCCTTTGTTTTTCTGAGAAATGGGCTGACATGGGAGACCTAGGCCAGAGCACCTGGAAACTAGTGGGTCCGCTGGGACCCTTCCAGCTCCCATTAACCTTCCATGGTCTCCCGCAGCTCCTGTTCACCCAGAAGACGGACCGCCAGTTGCTGGTGCTCCAGGACCCCGCTGCTCACGCTGCCGCCGCCGCTTCTTCCTGCCTCTTCGCTGTCCACAGCTCCCTGCAGGTGCCTCCCCACTGCCTCCATTTCCTCACCAGCCTCACTCATCACTGTGTCTCCAGAACTTCCCGTGGGTCTTTCTTTGCCATGGGGGTAGGGGCGGGGGGGGGATGATCAAAGCGTATTTTTATTTTTATCAGGCTCAGCTTTATTTTTTTTCTCCTGCCTATCACCCTATCCCTTCCCTGGTGAAAGGGGAATGTGCACACCCACGAGTAAGTTCTAAAAGCCACCCATCGGCATATTGATGAGAAGGCCTCCTCTCCCCACCCCACTGGCCCACAGCCCCCTCCCCAGAAGCAATTCTATGGAGTGTCTGTTCCTATGGAGTTATTACCTGAGTTAATTGGCTCCTGTGGACATGGAGCTTCTAAGGCCAGGTGGACCCTGTACCCACCTTGTACCCGGGTGTCACCTGGGGGGCCACGCCTGGAGCCCTTGTGTGTGCTTTGCACAACATCACTCATCTGATCCCTGTGCCAGCTGCAGCAGGACGGTGGGACGGTGCTCACCTTGCAAAGGGGACAGCGAGTCCGGGAAGAGAAATGACTTGCTGAAGTCACATACCCCAGAAGGGGGATTGGCAGAGCCAGGTTTGAACCAAGGCTGCCTGTTTCCACTGCCTGTGCCTTCAGGAGACAAGGATATCTCAGGAATCGTGCAGTATCTAAGGGGGCACTTACGGCTATAGCCCTAGTTCAGAAGGAATGACTGGGGAAGGAGGGAAGAGCTCAGGGAATAGTTATTGACTCAGCCAGAAACATAAACAAGTGGATGAATGAACACATGAATTAACAAATCTCTCCTCCTGGCCCCTTCCTCTCTCTCTCCAAGTCCTCTGAAATCCCTCTCAAAGCCCACTCCTCTTTCCAGGATCCTGTGATGTCTGAGAATACTGGCTATGCCTGGGTTTAAATATCTGTTCTGCCACTTCCTGGCTGGCTGAATTTAGACAGGTCTCTGTGGCTCAGTTTACATGGCTGCAAACTGGAAATAATGATAGCATTCAGCAGTTAATGGTTAAAGTGGTACCCAGCATGTAGTAGGTGTTCAGTGAATGTGGGTTGCTGCTGCTCTGATTATAATTTCAATCATTAGTAATGTTATAATTATCATCACCCGTCTTCTACCCCCTCCCGCCCTCCTCCTCGGTTTTGTGACCCTCCACCAGCTTCCTCACTGATGCCTCCAACTTTTTGTCTCCCAGCAGTCTGTTCCCCACACAAGAGCCTCCTCCTTCAACCCTTCCCACCAAAAGCCTTCAGTGGGCCCCTTCATGGTCTGGCCCCTGTCCGCCTCCCCCTCCTCTCCCTCATGCTCACTGATCGGCTGCAGGACCACTGACCTGCCAGTGTTCCACACTTGTTCCTGCCTCAGGGCTGTTGCACTTGCTGTTCCTACTTCCTGGAACACTCTTCCTGTCAGTCTTCCCTAGCCAACTCTTATCCTCTGGGCCTTAGGGTCAGTGCCCCTGGTTTTCCAATTGGAGGGCGATCCTCTTTTATAACACTGCCCTCTTCACTCATGGCAGTGTCTGATGATACACTTGGCTAATCCAGTTCCTATGATTCAAGCCCCAGACAGACAAGGCTAGGGTCCTTCATGCCCCTACTTGTTTTCTCAGTGCCAAGTATCTATAGTCTGCTAAGAAGTGGTAGGGGAATCCGTTGAAGGCAGGAAAGAGTGAAGAGGCATAAAAATTTGCAACTCAGATTCCACTCTGAAGGGGAGTGAAATTTTCCCAATTCCCAGGGCTTTTGGAGGCTTAAGTGGCTCTGCAGAGCACCAAGTACACTGCCAGGCATGGATGAACACTTGGTAAATACTGGCTGTTATTATTTTTAAAGCTTTTTACTATTAAAAATAATACAAGGATAGAAATTCACATCCAACACGTGTGCCGCTTACTTGTTCGAGGGGGAACACTCCGGAAGCGCAGCCCCTGCCCTCCTTGGTGCAACCCCTCTCTGCCTCCCCGAGAATAGCCACTAACCTGCCGCTTAGTTACCTTTCTTTACATTTCAGTTCTGTCGTTCAGTGTCCCTAAACAGGAATGTTTAGTCTGACACTTTTGTTTTTATCTTTTGTGGACATGCATGCTAAGGCTCCTTTTATCTGTAGACTTCCCTCCATTTTTGTCCCCCTTGCAGTTGATTTGGCCAAGAAACCAGATGGTCCTCGTGCAGTTTCCCAGGCAGGGTTTGCTGATGGCGCCGTGGGGGAAGGTTGTCAGCTGGTTCTGCCTCTGCTTCCGTATCGTTGGATGTGGGGCCTGAGTGGATGCAGGTTCATTGCGCAAGACTTCCTGGGAGCAGGATGTCTGGCCTCTGTTGCGTTGTCTAGACCTTACCTGTGGATTCATCAGAGGTCGGAAGGGATAAAATCCTGATCTGTTCCTTCTTCATTTCCTGATTGACATGCCAGATAAGGAGAGGCTTGCCTTCCTTTGCCACTAGGTTACCCAGGGCAATGGCTTTTGTAGTAAATGAAGGCAAAATGCTTGCTACTTTCACTATATCCACTTGTCTTAGGAAGAGTTGGTTCCCGTGCATCCTCCCAAGGTAACCAATTCGACTTTTCCTTTACTAGTATTAACTCACGTATGGAATATATTTGAGGAGTTATGATCTATGACAATGAGAATCCTTAGTGGCACTCAATTTATGCAACTTGCTATATTTATTCTATATTATCCATACAGAGCTGTTGCTGTGTTTTATTTTTAAAGTGGTTTCGGTTTATTTATTCCTCTCAGATAAGTTTATTTTCATATTTTGGCAACATTTATTTTGAGAATAAAATTTGCAGAAATACTAGAAAGAATGCCTATCTACATAGTATCCTGATTCTGTAGCTAACACTTTAAACACATTCGACATTTGCTTTGTTATTTTTTTCTCCCGGGAGTACAAACGCACTCACACACACAATTTATTCTTTTCGGAAGCGTGATTTCCCTTTACTCCTAAATACTTCTACATCTGTTACTTAAGGTCAAATCATTGTCCTATTTAACCATGGTACAGAGATTACATTCAGGCCACTAACACTGAGAAAATACTAGTCAAATCCACAGATCTTATTCATATTTTGTCAGTTGTCCGCTTATGTTTTTCTAGTAAAAAAAAACACAAATTCTGGTCCAGGAACACAGATTGCATTTAGTTGTCATGTTTATTATTATTTTTTAAAGCTAACATTCCCCTCCTTCATCAGAGGGTGTAGGAGGATTCCATCCATTCAATTCCTCTCCCGGGACCACCAGGTCACCCATGTCCTGAATCTTCCTGGAGAGGTTGAGTGTTTATAGTCTGTCAGGTATAGACTTTCCCCTCTTTTTATGCATAGGTGATGTATTCTTTGTTCTGACTTGCTTTTCTCTTAATTCTTCTCTGCTGGATACACAGAGCAGCCTCTGTTTATATTACACTGCAGTTTCCTGCCCTGTGGACAATCCCTGGTTTATTTCCTCCTCCCTCTGCTGATGAGCACTTTTCCCCGCAGTGATCTTGAACTCAGGTCGTTGTGCGCATGTACGAGTGTGCTCATAGGGTACAGTCCCAGCAGTGGAATTGGGGCTTGCTTATGCCTTTGTCGTTTTTAAAAAAGAGCCAAATTGTCTCCGTAAAGATGGTTCTAACGGAACCCCCAGCATTATGGGAGGCTGTCTGGGCTTCCCATGTCCCCGCCAACATGGTAAGCTTTTTTTTTATTTTACAGTTTTATCAGGACATAATGTACATATCCTACAATTCACTTATTTAAAGTCTACAATTCAATGGTTTTGAGTATATTCACAGAGTTATGCAACCATCACCACAGTCAGTTTTAGAGCCTCGCCCCCGGAAGAAACCCGCATCCCTTAGCTGTTGTCCCCAAGTTCCCCTCCCCGTGGACCTTCTCCCCTAACCCCCCCCAACCACTAATCTACTTCCTGTCTCTGTAGATGTGCCCACTCTGGACATTACGTTGTGTGGTCCTCGGTGACTGGTGTGTTTACAGGAACTGTTTAATCTCTGCGGATTAGATGGTGGTTTTACTTGGCCATTTTCTGACTCAGGGTTGAAACTGAGCATCTTGTCCTGTGTGCATGTGTGTTTTCAGGGCGCCATTGGCCTCCAGAGGACTGGAAGCCTGCCCCGGAAGAGGGGAGAGAGAGGGAGCCAGAGGGGCTCCCCCCGGCCTCTGTCCCTCCATTGTACTGGTGAGGACCGTTCCCACCCCGTGGGCCCCTCCCCATTAATCATCCTCCCTGCACACAGCGTGGAGGAGCTGGATGCTCCGGTGGGCAGGGAGGTGGAGGGGAGTCACGCCCCCTAGCCCAGCCCTTCTTCCCAGGACCCCTGGAGGCCTCCGCGCTCCCACCAGCAGCAGGAGACGCTGGGAGACACCCCCTCTATCAGCTGCTGAACTGTGGCCCTGAGAATACGTGAGACACAGGGAGAAGGTGGGGAAATGCAGGAAAGAGGCCGGCCCACTGTACCGTGCCCTGATCTCTGTTCCCTCCTCCTAGCTGTGGGGCCCTCCACCCAGACATCGCCCGCATGGAGCGGCTTCTGCAGCAGGCGGTAGCAGAGAGGGAGCGGCTGCTCAAGGCCAGGGTGAGACCCCAGGCCCCCCTCCTTAGGGTGGGGAGGTCCTACTGCAGCCCCTCCTCCCCCAGCCCCAGGGGTCCAGGCCCCGGCCCCTCCTCCCCCAGGCCCAGGGGTCCAGGCCCCCGGCCACTCCTCCCAGGACCCAGGAACCCAGTACATTCTCCCCCACTCCTTACTGGTCAGCATCCCTTATTGACTTCATCCTAAACACACAGGAAGGGACGAGAAGGAGCACAGAAGGTCCCTCAGGCTCTGCTGTCCCTGCCATCACGGTCAGTCTCACCCCTGCCCTCATCCCCCCTCCCCTACTGTGTCCTCTGCCTCTGTCCTTTCTTCTTCCATCCTTCCCCCTGCTCCAGCAGCATAGAAAAGTGTCCTGGGCTTGTCAAGGGAAGGGGAACTAGGACGGCTTAGTTTCTGTTCCCATGACAGGTATCTGTCCCCACAGTATGTCCTTGGGTGACTGCTGTACTTCTCTGTGCCTCGGTTCCCTCCTCTGTAAATGGGCAGCAGTGTCAGCAGTTACTGCAGAATGCGGGCAGCTACATGCTGGGGCTTTTCCAAATAATTTAGAATTCTGTTTTAGTTGTTTAATTCTTTTTTTTTAAAAAAGGACTTCTTAGTATAGAAATATTCAGCATATGCAAAGGTAGAGAGAGTAGATGAATACACCCCCCACCCCTGCCTGTGCCCCCCGGGCAGCTTCAGTGTCACTGTTGATTCTTGTTTTACTTGCCAACTTTATTTTACTGACCTGACACCTACTTCCCACCCTGCAGTGGAATATTTTAAAGCAAACTCCAGGTATGGCCTCATTACTTCCATACCTCACTGTGTGTCTCCAATAGATAAGATGTATATCTTCCAATATCTGGGATTTTAAAGCGAACCCTAGATGTTGCATTATTACATGCATACCTCACTATGTACCTCCAGCAGGTACATTTTTTTTAATATAAACATTCCATTTCATAATTGGTTATTTGAATCTGAATCCCAGCAGAGCACCCAGAGTATATTTGGCCAAAATGTCTCTTAAATCTCTGAGATAAAGAGTCCTCTCTGCCCACCTGAAAAAATAAATCCACTTATTGGTGGAGACAGATCAAGCCATTTATCCTGCAGAGGTTCTCACATTCTGGATTTAGCTGAGAGCTCCTCATTTTTACCTCCGTTAATATCATGGATGTATTTGTGTTATAACGAATGCTGTAGAATGTGGCACAGTGAAGGTCTCCCTGCTGGACCTCTGGAGGTGCAGGTGTTTTCTGTAGTTGTTCATGCTTTTCCGTATATACACTGGTCGAACCACCCCATATGAATTCATTCTCCTGTAAATGAGCACGTAGTCCCGGCCAGCTTTCCATTTTCTTAACCATTTGTCCTTTCCTTATTCTTTTTTAACCAATGCTCATTTGCGTGTGTACTGTGTGAGGCCCTGGGTTACACAGTGACCAAAATGACAACCCCTGTCCTCAGGGAAGCTGGCGTTTAGTGGGGCAGAGACAACAAGCAGCATCAATAAATAAAATAAGCGTATTATGTGTCGATAAGAGTCAGGAAGTAAAATGAAACAAGAAGGACTGGGGAGGCTCCTGGGTGGGGAGGCATAAGCTCTACCTCATTAAAAATGAAGGGCTCCTGCTTTGTAGCATCATCATTTATTAAACAGTCCCCTCTGGGTTTATTGTCCCCCTTGGCTGCTTACATGCCCAAGCTGCCACCTTGTGCACAGGAGCAAGTGTGCATCTGGGATTCCCGCCTGGAAGTGGAATCACCTGGTTAGAGACCCTGACAGCAGTGAGCTCCTAGGAAGGGAGCCGTGAGAACCCTGATTTTCACTACAGGGAGCCTGAGGCTCCTAGAGGGGCACCTACCCGGAGGGGTGACACGGGTGGGCAGTGGTGGAGTCGAGTCGCGAGCCCACCTCTGCCCGCCTGGGTTGGGCCCCACTCCAGCCTGTCCTACTCAGGTGACCTTGGTGAGTCACTTCCTTTCTGGAAGCCTCAACTTCCTCATCTGTCAAGTGGGGACAAGAATGGATAGTTTTGGAGAGGAAACAAGGCGAACACTGATGGCTTGGCACAGTGCCAGACACAGTGCGCCCTTCCATACACGGTGGGCATTAGTGTATGGATCTGGCGACATGACCCATAGAAGATTCCAGGCCCCAGTGGGCGCCCTTTTGGCCATCCCTTCCCTCCTGTGCATCCCCCCGGCTCCTCACTCTCCCCATCCCCAGCCAATGAGTGTTATTGCTGTTTTTTGTCCCTTCTCACTCTGGCCTCACTTCCCTTTCTCAGCCCCCTGTACTCAAAGTGCTGCCCGCAGGCCAACAGAACCTCACCCCCATCCTGGACCCCCACCCTGGAATGACAATTTAACAAAATCCCACGGGGTCCACTTGCCCCCTGAAGTCTGAGCTCACCGCTCTGAGCCTCAGTGTGACTGTGGAGATCATACCCTTCTTTGCAGGGACCATTTGGTAAGAACAGGTTGAATCAGGCTGGGCCTTGTGAATAGACGGCACTTTCATTGCCTATTCTTCCCCCTGTCGCCCCCTGAGTTGATGATTCTTCCTGGTGAGTCCTGGCTTGGTCTGCTCTAGCTGTGTGACTTGGGCCTAGTGATTTAACCTCTCTGAATCTTGGTTTCCACATCTGTAAAATGGAGATGATGATGTACTTACGCCACCAAGAAAGTTTGAGGAGGCAGACGGATTATACCTACATAAAGTGCTTAGCACAGGTAGTAATCAAGTTGTTGATACTGGTAAAGCCCTGGGCAGAGAGGCATAGTCCATAAATGTAGCTGCCAGAGTCATTGTCGTGATGGTCATCACTAATATTACTGTTTAAAGGCTGGCGACCTTCCACATGAGCTGCTCCGTCTGACTGGCTCTTCTGGGGGCTGCAGGCTGCAGGACCCCCTCCCGACCTTTGACATCAGCTGCCCCCTTCTCTTCCATCCTCAGGCCCCGCCCACGTCCCCACCTTGCCCTCTGGGCCCCCGGGTCTTGGATCTCCGGCAACACCTGGAACGCTGGGGTCACAACCCGGAAAACTGCGCTCACGTCCGCGTGTCCGGGGGCTGCTGCCGCGGACCCCTGGTGAAGATGGGTGGCCGTATCAAGACCTGGAGGAAGCGGTGGTTCTGCTTTGACCGCCAGGCACGCCGCCTGGCCTACTACGCGGGTAAGCCCAGTCTGGATGCCCAGGACCCTGGAAGAGCCCATTCTGAGGTCCTCCCCGTGGGACATCCAGGAGTCACAGCCCCCGCCCCCTTCTCTTCTAGGCCCAGGTCTTCCTCAGACCGCAGGAGTCTCTGTCCCACACCCCACCTCCAGGGTCCAGGAGATTGCTCCTTGTCTCTACCACCCAGGACAGGAGTCTGGGCCCCCAGCCCCTTCCTCCTTATCCACCCAGTTTTCCTCCATATAGCAGTTTTGTACAGTTCTGGACCCCACACCCCATTTTCCTAAGACACTCAGAGGATATCTGGGTATCCTCAGGAGGCACTCAGCAAGGTCTGAAGCTGCATTGTCTGTACCACCCCCAACACCCCTGTCCCTCCTCCCTAGGGGAATCAGTAGTTCTGAATTTCTTGAGCCCCTTCCTTTTTCAGGGCCCAAGGCACTCGGACCAAGGACTCAGCTCCCCAGACCCCATTCCCTAGTCTCCACACCAGGCTTCCCACCCAGCATCTGTACAAACCCACCGCCTCCCAACCACGCGACTTTAGGGGCCTCCGGACTCAGTCACCATGCTCCTCACCCCAACCCCAGTTTTGGGACTTGGGCCTAGTGACCTGTGCCCGCCCCTCACCGGCTATTTCTCCCCCTCCCTCTGTCAGACAAGGAAGAGACCAAGCTCAAAGGCGTCATCTACTTCCAGGCCATCGAGGAAGTCTATTACGACCACTTACGCTGTGCCTTCAAGGTGAAGCCCCGCTTGGTGCTGCCCTACCCCTCTGGCTGGGCCCCTGTGTTTAGGTCTTAGCTTGTTTCTGGGGAAAGCCGCCCACAGACCCTACTGCCAGGGTGCTCCAGCACAGGAGACTGACAGCTCATGTCGCTGCAGCCACCAGAAGTGAAGAGCTCCCTTTCTGACTCCCAGACACTGTTACTTCTCTTAGAGCAAACGATTTAGAACAAAAGTGTGGCAGACTCTGCTGCCAAGCCGGGAGTAAGCCAATGAAGAGAGCAGGCTGAGGACCAGGCTTCCTGGGAGACTTGGAAGGAGACAGTCATTTCTCAGCCTCTGCCCACAGCCGCCAGATGGGAATAGGCCCCTTAGTGTCAGTCTCACTGTATTAATTTTTCCATAGGGAACTCAGGAATTTGAACTTACAAAAAAGTGCAGTTCCAGAAATTTAAATGGTGGCAACTGGTATAGTGTTTAGAAAGGTCTGTGGAAAGCAACCAATTACAGCTTTTTAGACCTTAATTTAGAATCCCAGCTGTGGAACATCAGGAAAGTCCCTTCCCTTGCCATACTTGTCACCTGCAAAACCGGCACACTTCAACCCATTTTCTCAGAGTTGAGAAGGTTAAAAACAGATAATGGATGTAAAGGATTTACTGAATTTGGGATTGGCAAGTAGGTACCCAAAAAATAGGTTATAAACACTAACTTTCCTCAGTTCCTAGGCAGTGGGAGGCCGGGAATCTAAATACAGGGGAGGGGAAATTTGAATGCTTATAGATCTAATATGGAAGATGGGACACAGTCCCTCCTTTTCAATTCCTCTTGCTTCCAAATTCCTAAGCGCCTTCCTGTGTTAGTTCATTAAATCCTCAAAACCAAATGAGGCAGGTGGCATTATTTAGGACAGATGAGGAAACCGGTTCAGAGTCTAAGTAATTTGTCCAATGTCACACAGCCCTTAAATAGCAAGGCTACGATTTGAATCCAACTGCCCCCTTAAACCACTGCCACTCCGTTACCTGTTATTTCAGAGCCCCAACCCTCGCCTGACGTTCTGCGTCAAAACCTACGAACGCCTTTTCTACATGGTGGCACCCAGTCCCGAGGCCATGCGCATTTGGATGGATGTCATCGTGACAGCTGCCGATGAGAACCACGCCCCCTGAGCGGTCCCACCTTCTGGGCGGGGCACCCCGGCGAGGCTCCGCCCCCCACGCGTTGTTTCCCTGCCCTTCCCACTCCCGAAAAGCCTGGGCCTGCCCTTCTGGAACTTTCCTGGGAATTTTGCAGACGCCGCGGCTGGGCTGGTCTGAGCCTCGGCGTCCTGGGCTGCGGGTGCCTTTCCGTGACGGGAAGCCATCCCCTGGGGCCCTGCTCTTGGCAGGAGGAGGGGAGTGGGGCGGGAAGGAACTATTTATTGGTGCTCCTGTGATACCGAATTAAACATGAAGGAAAAACAGTTGTTGCTCCTGTGGCTTCCAGCCCAGGCTTCGGGAAGGACATTCAGCTGATGGGTACCTTCAACTTCGAGGGCAGGGCTGGGAAGGGGAGGTGGGCAGTCCTTAGCCTTAGGCAATTTTGTTTTTTTAGTTTGTAGGCCCACCTATTTACACCTTTTTCAACTTGACTGTTACTGGCAATTTCTAGGGACTCTTCTGCCCTTCAGTCCTTGACAGGTTCCCTCTGTCTGATCTTTAACCAGCTAGCTCCTCGTTCTTCAGGTCTCTGTGGGGATGTCCCCTCCTTCAGGAAGCCCTTCCTGACTTCCCTGGCTGGGTCGGGCACCTCCCGTGTGAGCTCCCCTGACCCATCCCTGAATACCCTAGGTCATCGCTGTTGATGGATCTCTTCCCCTTCTGGACTGGCAGCCCCGTGAGGGCAGAGCCAGGGCTGACCTGATCACTCCTGCGTCCCCAGCATCATCAGGCACATTTCATTCCATGAAAGTGGAAAAACAAAATGCTTGCCTTTCACCTCTCTGTACATACTGTTCCCTGTGCGTAGGCGCCTTTCCCCACTCCACCCTACTCCTCGTCATGCAGGTGACTGGTCAGGCGTTTTCTTCATCAGGAAGCCCTCCCTGATTCTCCTGGCTGAGTCAAATCAGCCCTGATCTCTCTGCCTCGGCCTCCTCCATCACGGCCCTGACTCCTGTGGGTTATTACAGCGGATGAGTGTGTCTCCTGTCCTGGGTAGGAGCCCCAGGAGGGACTGGGACTGTTTCAGGCATTTATGAGTTCCTGGCACATGGCAAATGGCCCAAGTGCAAACTAGGCATTGAGGGCATGTCTGCTGGTTGAATAAACTGATTAGCTAGAGATGGGGATGGGACACGAGTGAACAGGCAGATAGAGGAATCTTCATCCCTAAGTCTATCCAAGGTGGCTCCTTCAAGAAGCTCTCCTTGATTCCTAGGCTGACTTGGGTGCCTATTCTGGGGCCCCACAGTCCCCTGGGCTCCCCCAATTACTGACCACTCGAGGCAGTCACTGGACACAGGCCTTTCCCCTCAAACCTCTCTGGACCTAGGTGTGCAGTCCCTCTGGCTCCTGTCTCCTAAGGACCTGAGTGTCCTGTGCCAGGATTCCTTGAGGATCTAGATGTGCTGCTCCTAAGACCTGGGAACGCAAACCTCCAATCCTCAGGCCCTCAGGGACCCCAGGTGTCCCTTGGCTCCACTTCCAGGTGTGAGACATCTGGACTCTTAGATCAATGCATCCCCCAGCCTTCTGCAAACAGGCCCTTTGGGGACCAGCTTCACGGGCATGGAGCCAATGTAGCTGATAGGTCCCTGTGCTCAGAAAAGCCCTCCTGGGTGTAAATGCTCTGTGGTTGCCATCTGGAAAGTAAAGTCTGAAGGGATGTTGAGCATGAGCAGAGGGGATTGGGGAATCTGCTCACGCAAGATCCTACCTCCCTCCACCTCCCACCTGCGCAGGTGGGAGGACAGGTTCTCTGCCTTCCCCTCCCTGCCCCTGCTTGTGACCTCTGCTGCCTCCAGCTTGGGCAGGCCTGGTGCACCTAGGAAGGTCAGGGTCACACATTGTGCCTCATGGCATCTTGGGCTGGGGCGTGGCAGAGGGCAGCTGGTGGAAGGGGAACCCACTCACCAAGTTGCTCTAGTTGTGGGACAGTGTCTCCAGACGCCTAGGAATGTCTGTGCTCAAGCCAGTGCCCCCTTTGCCCAAGGGAACATGACATTAAACACCATAAGGGGTCAAGAGAGATGGCAGAACAAAGGAAAAAAGTGTTCCTATTTGAGTACCGTTATGACACTCTTTCCTGCCTTTTGAACTGAGACCCCATATATATACATTTTGCACTGAGCTCCACGAATGATGTAGCTGGCGCTGCCCTTGATCCCACCCCTCCCCTGACGTATCCCAGACAGAACGTCCCTGAGAAAGTAGGTCTGAGGCAGGCTGGGAACATCACTGTGCTCAGAGCCTGCCCTGCCCCCGGGGCCAGGAAACCCATAGTGGGTGTGGTCCCAGAGTTTTCTGAGCCCTGGAATAACCTGCAGGCCTGGAGACTGTCTCGGCACTGCCCCATCTGTTCCTCTTATCTGGGCAGCCAGATTCCAAATCTCTGCTGCAGTGGCCTCTGTGGAGAGGAGCTGGGTAGTCACAGAACAGGTGTGAGTAGAGGCCCCACATACAAACCTCCCTCTGCTCTCTGGTTCTGGGCCAGGCAGGGGTCAGCGCCCAGGATCTGGGCAGGCCTGAGCAAGAAGCTCCCCACCCTGGGTCCCACTCCCTCCCAAGACGCTAGTTCTTCTGGTCTGGCCAGTTGGGGTTCCTCCCTGAAACTCTCCCACGCCTCCTGCTCCTGCGCACACAATAATAATATTATTATTCTGCCTCGTTTCACCTCCAGGAGACAGGGGTTCTCAGACCCATTTGGCAAAATAAGCAGCTGAAGTCCAGAGAGGGAGACACAGTTGCTTGAGGTCACACAGCAAGAGGATGGCAAAGGCGGTATTAAAATTTCAGTCTGGTTATTCTAGACCTGATACTTTGTCCACTGCCTCACTCTGCAATGAAAGACACTCCTTCCTCTATATAAACTGGACACCTCAGAGGCTCAGAGAAGACACTTATGCAGGGTCATACAGCAAACCTTAAATGAAGCTGAGATTCCAAGGCTTGGAGGCAGGGAGGCAGGAGCTGGTGCTGAATGACTTCCCATGTAGTCATTCACTTTCTCTGAGCCTCAGCATATGTGACTGAGGTACTAGTCATTGTTGGGAATGGGGGTGTCCAGCGGGGGCTGGGGAACAGATAATATCTTTATGAACAGAGCCGCTATTTTTTCTGCCATAGGTAAATAAGCCAGGAGAAACAGCAAGGTTAAACCTGTAACTTACATAATAATATAATATATAATAAATATATATATTAAGATATATATAATAAACTATATGATCAATAGAAATAATATATGGGCAGTCACTTATATTAACCAGGATATGGGGATGCTTAATCATTTTGTGGTTTGAACAATGTCGCTGCTTATTTCTGTGCTCAGACGTGCTAACGCAGTGGTCCTGGTCGTATCTCTCTCCACCATAGTCGCAGTGTGGCCCTGTCTGATGTCGGTGTTCAGTGTTGGTGGGTGACACACCACCATGGCCTTACTGTGAGTGTCAGGCCAACTCCTGGCCGTCAGGGGCTGCTTTTTTTTTGCTTACCTGGAGGCCTGCCCAGCTCCCTCCCTGGTCTCCTGGCCTTCTCTCTTGCCCCTTCTAGAGGCCTTTTATTTATTTTTTAACACAGAAACCACAGTGACCTCTTTTCCTTCCTTTTTAAAAAAGAATAATGTTCATCCAGGGAAGTGCACAAGCATACAGCTTGGCGACTCCTTATACACACTGTGGTGTTTGTACATATGTGTTACCACCACCCAGGTGAAGACAGGGGGGACTCCTCACTATGGCTCCTTTGGGGCAATGGCCTCCCCAAAGTAACCCCTGATTTGATTTCTATCACTGCAGATCACTTTTGTCTGTTCTAGAACTCCATATATATGGAGTCACACTCCATATAAATGGAGTTACACAGTATGCTTTATTTATTTAAGGCTCCTTGAGCTCAGCAGTTTCTGAGATTCCTCCACATTGCTGCAGGGAACCAGGAGCTGCCTTGTTCTCATTGCTGTGTGTGGTTCCCTAGGATTAATGGCCCATTAATTTTTTTCCCCATTCATTTTTTAAAGGATATTTGCATTAGTTTGCAGGCTGATCATATTAAAAAGTAAATCTGATCATGTACTCTAGCTGATTTAGACACTCTCAAAGGTTCTCCACCTTTCTCAGAATTAATTCAAATCTCTCCTCAGGGCATGTAATGCCCTGCACGTCTGGCTATTGTCCGGTTGTCTGCCTCAGTTGTCCCCTTTCGCCTCTTTGTCTCTGCACTCCAGGCACACTGCTCTCCTGTCTGAGTTTGGATGGCCCCTGTGACTTCCCACCTCTAGGTGTTTGCTTGGGTGGCTCCCTCTGCTCTGTAATGACCTCTGCCCCCACCCCGACCTGCTTCACTGACTAAATCCTCCTCATCTTTGACATCACAACTCCAATAACATCCTGGGGGGGCTAGGCTTCACTGACCTGCTCCCACTTCTAGAGTCCACACCTCCTTGTAGCACCCTACACTTCTTCTGTCATTGCCCTCATTGCATATAACAATTTGTGTCATTATTGATTAACAACTGCTGCCCCCATCAGACTGTGAGCTCTGTGACAACAGGCACTGGTTCTGTCTTAATCCCTTGTCACTGGGACCAAAGCCAACAATTAAATCCGGGGTAAATGAAGTGCTGAGTGTTGAGTAGACCCTCTCCATGAGCCTCGGTCCTCTCCTCTCTACCAGCAAACACACAGCCTTTCTCCTGGGAGCTGTCAGGGAGGCTTGACTCCTGCCTTTTCCCTCGGCAGCTGTGGGTGACGCACCCAGGGGTGGGCGGTGCGGGCCCCGCCCCACAGCAGACGCTGATTTGGCCCGGTTGGGCAAGGCCAGGGTTGCCTGGGGGGAGGTTACTCATCCCCGGCTCAGGTAAGAGGGCCCAGGTTGGGAGGCGGCACACCCAGGGGGGACGCCGAGGGAGCAGGGCGCACCATGGACCTGGCCGGAAGAGCAGGCGCCCGCGCAGTGATCTGGACTATAGTCTGGTTGCTGTTGTCACTGCTGCTCCGAGAAGGTGGGTCTGATGCCTCGAGGGGGTGGAGCAGGTAGAGTGGGGGCTCTAGGGAGGAGGGTCCCTTCACCCCCTGCAGAGAGGGTTGTGGGAAGGGATCCGTCACTGAGCCAATTCAGCTGTGGGGAGAGTTCGCCCATCTTCAGTGGAGAACTATGGGAAGGTGTCCCTATCCATGGCAGGGATCCCCCACCTGAGTATAAGAGGGCTGTGGAAGGATGCTCTCACAGCAGGCACAGGGGCTTAAAGGAAATGTG